TTATGTCCAGAGAAAACAGACATGTTGATGTTTCTGAAGAAAAACTGTTCCATGAAAAGGTCCTCAGTGTGTAGCAGTGAACATTAGACACTGACGTGTCACTGGTTTGAAACCGGTCTTTTGAACTGGAAATTATTTGTTTATTTTTATGTAAGAAAGCTGCTTGGAAAAAAAAAAAGGAAAAAAAAAGAACTGTTTGGAATAGAAATACCAAAGTTAAAATAATAAAACGCACAATATGTACTGTAATGTGTAACGTAATTTTATTCTTGTTAGAATTATTAGTAATTACAAAATTGGTACCGAAAAAAGAACTGTCCAGGAATCGACACCGAAGTGAATGTACAGACACCGGTACCAATATCGATTTTTTTTTTTAGAAAGGTACCCACCCCTAGGCTTTCCAGACACTTGACAAAAATGACACAAATTACAATAGCGTATTACATCTCTCTTTAACCCCGACCAAAAAAAATGACACAAGATGCGATCATAAGTTTTTCTTATTCCAAGGTGACCTGCTAGTGGATTTTCATGTGCTAATCATAGTATCTCTGCACGATATGGAGTTGGAATAACAATTTGCTTCACAACACTCCACTCTTGAACCGGAGAGGCATTTAATAGTTTCCATTTACGTATCAACAATCCGTCATTCAAAAAATAACCAGCATCCCTAAACAAAGATGCTAAACTCTCATCGGTTTTTTGGAGATCTATTAACTTTTGTTTTGACATTGACAACATATTCACTTCTGGCATGTCCTCCTTCACTCTCTCTTTAGACAGAGGGACATTCTCAGTTTTTGTGTCATACAAAAAAACTATCTGTTAAGTCAATTTCATTCTCATTTTCCTCTTGTTGACGTTTAAGAGCAGCGTGCGTAACAGCGCATGACGTGAATACATCAGGAAATGTACGAGCAAGCTCATCTGGAGTCGTGCACAATACTGGGACAGTTGTAACGTCAGGAGTAACTAATACTCGACCTCCAGCTAAATCATTCCCCATGATCATGGAGACACCCGCTATAGGAGAAGTAGGGCGCACCCCAACCACAGCATCACCAGGCCACAGTTCAGAGTGGATCATGGTTTTGTGCAAGGGAACATCAATGTCTTGCCCAAAAAAGTTCAATCTGGTCCTCTGGACATTCAAAAAAAAACAAAACAAAGCAAAAAAATCTAGAAACGTTTCGTCTCTCATCCAAGAGACTTCCTCAGTCTGAGGCGCTGTTTTCAACTCAGTCTCTTAAATAGCACCTTCTCAGAGTGGATCAACCAGTTTTGCTGCTGACAACCAAAAACCAGCTGATCACATGTTCAAGAAGGACCATCAGCCTAACAATGGATCATTAGCACACTGATGGCTGTTTACTGTTCACAGAGGGCTGAGTGATACTAGCAATCACAGCATTGTAAGAGGGGGACAGTTGAACCCGGAGGCCTCCACCCCTGTTTAATGATGGACGGTTTCTTTTCACAAAGATGGGAAAAAAGATGAGGAACCCCTAAGTCCCGTGTCCACAGAAAAGACACAAAAACCCAAAGTACAACTTAAAGGAGGACCTGGTGAACAGGCCAAACCAAAAAAAAAGGTACTGCAGCGGGCCAACCCTATACAGGGCCGTCGAAGCCGCTGGGTACCAGACTAAAACTAGGAAAAAACCTACAAAAACCCTATAACAAAAGAAAAAGCAAAAACAGGACCATCGGTCCCACCAGGCCAAAAAGTACTAGAAAAAACATACAAAAAGGTAACAAAAATTACCTGAGGTGGCTGGGACCACCAACAGCAGGCCACAGCTCCAGGATGGCCAAGAAAAAGATCCAAACAAAACAGGGATTCTGGAGAGATTCAAAACAGTGTGTCTCAGAGAGGGCCAAAAAGCAGAGTGAGCCTAAGAGAGCCAAGAGAGCTCCCTGAAACCAGCCTATTTAGGGGCTGGTAGAAAAAGCCACAGCCCAAAACAATCAAAGACTGATTAACTAACTCAAAACCTATCTAGAAGAACAAAACAATAAGACCAATGTGCCTGGCACATAACAGTTCTATAGATTAGAAATTTCAGTTATATATTTGGATTCCACAGCAAGCTGGCTTGAAACACATCAGTAAGGTGCTGTTCATAATGGTTGATCAACCGTGGATTACGACAGGATTGAGAAATGCATGTAAAAAAAAGAATTATCTGTATTCATGTTTCTTGAAATCCAGAACACATGAGGCAGAAAATAAATATAAAAAGTACAAAAATAAATTAGTTGGGATCATAAGAAAACAAAAGAGGGAATATTATAGTGAGTTATTACATAAAAGTAGTGGTGATATGAAGGCAACATGGCGAGTAATGAACAGTGTTCTGAAAAAACACAAGGTTAGTACGAGTCTTTCTCAATATTTTGTGGAAAATAATGTGGAAATCCATGATGAAAATGAAATCGTAAACGGATTTAATAATTACTTTGTAAATGTTGGATCTAACCTTGCAAATACAATACCAAAAGTGGATAAAAATGTGAGTTATTTAATCAGTGATTGTGTTAACAGTATGTTTCTAAAGGGAACTGACAAAGAAGAAATAATGAAGGTAGTTAAAAAATTTACTGACAAAAGATCAAAAGACTGTGAAGACATGGATATGATGGTTGTAAAAGAAATAATAAGTCATGTGATTGAGCCATTTACATATATATGTAATTTGTCATTTTCAACAGGAATATTCCCAGACAGAATGAAAATAGCTAAGGTAGTTCCTCTTTTTAAACATGGTGACAAATGTGTATTTAACAACTACAGACCTATTCTTTGTTGCCACAATTCTCAAAAATTCTAGAAAAATTATTTGTGACCAGATTTGACATATTTCTTGATAAAAATAATATTTTAAGTAATAGTCAGTATGGGTTCAGATCAAAAAATTCAACATCCATGGCTCTTATGGAGTTGATGGAACAAGTTACTACAGCTATAGATCAAAAACAACATTGTAACTTGTTCCATCAGCGATAGACACAATTTCCATATCGGTTGGGCTTTAATTATAACATATAACTTTTTTTATGTTTTATGCTGTTCAAAACTTTTAACTTTATTAAAAATCAAACTCTCCATAAAATGCATTGAGATCTATTTAATTTTTCCAAAACATTGTTCTTTATGAAATCTGCTTTAGCAAATTGCCTCTATTTTGTGTTCTTATACTACTGTACTTTTAGCTTTTAGCTACCCTTCTGCCAATTTCGGGTTGAAGTTAATTTTTTTTGTCATTTAAGATTTCAATTACAAGTTTGCTAATTTTAACTTTTACGTTAGGTTTTTCAACTTTTAGCTTTGTTGCGTTATGAGAGCTGACTGCGGGTCGTCAGTCACTGCAGCTAGCTATGGCTAGCTGTGGGCCTAAGGCTTCCTCTTTGACCCTGGACCCTAAGCCAGCCCCCACTGCTTCCCCTGGTTCTATCTCTCTCAGAAGTGGCAACTCATGCTAACAAATAAATCAATGAGACGTCAATTAAGTTTGATCAATTATATTAAAAAGGCAGAAGAAGATTACAGTTTTACTATGCTGGACTCTCCCGACTTTCACGCGTACACAGACCCGGAAGAGCCTCGAAGTCCCGTGTCATCACTAATTTATGGGGTCCTATGACTCCTCCTTTCGCAGAAGGGGAGCTCAGCTCATCAATGTATGAGGGGGCGTGACTTAAGTGTGGTCTTATGTGTACTGACGTGTTAGGAAAAACATGAGACGGTGCTTCAAAGCCTTTCTACGTGATGTGGCAAACAGATTAAAACTATTTGACTGATATTGAAATCCCAGGGAGACTCTCTTAGAGCTGCTGGCCCAGTTTAACCCAGTCAGAACCGGGTCATAATTTTATTATAATCCCGTCTCTGAGCAGATCAAATCCATAGGACCAGCCTAAATAAGAAATATTGTAACAGCTTTAAGCTAAGGTTTTGCTAATGTATACTTTTAGCTAGAGCTTTACTAGTTTTAGCTTTTAGCTACAGTTTTGCTCATTTTAGCCACTGCTCTGTTAATCCAAAAAAAGTTAAATCTGGTCTTCTGGACATTAAAAAAACAACAACATTTAAAAAATTGTAGAAACGTTTCGTCTCTCATCCGAAAGACTTCCTCAGTCTGAGGTGCTGTATTCAGCTCAGTCTCTTAAATAGCACCTTCTCAGAGCGGATCAACCAGTTTTGCTGCTGACAACCAGAACCAGCTGATCACATGCTCAAGAAGGACCATCAGCCTAACAATGGATCATTAGCACCTGATGGCTGTTTACTGTTCACAGAGGGCTGAGTGATACTAGCAATAACAGCATTGTAAGAGGGGGACAGTTGAACCCGGAGGCTCAACCCCTGTTTAATGATGGACGATTTCTTTTCACAAAGATGGCCTCCTTTACTCCTCTCTCAAACCATCGTTCCTCTCTGTCCAGGATGTGCACATCTTCATCCCTGAAAGAGTGACCGCTGGCCTGGAGATTATTATTATTTTTTTGAATGTCCAAAGGACCAGATTTAACTTTTTTGGCTTTTTCTACCTGGATTATTGAGCAAGCATCAGCATACTGCTCTGTTAAGTTTAGCATTTAGCCAATGTTTTACTAATTGTAGCTACTATTTTGCTCTTTAAAATGTAATATTTAAGTTTTAGCAATATTCAGTATTCAACAACAAGCATTCACGTTGCATTTTTACAAAAAATACAGATGTCTTTAGCTTATTTATGTTTTTCCTAACAATTTTTCAGACTTTCCTGGAATATTCTAAAGTTTTAAAGTTTTTCAGGTTCAGCTGTTCTCCAGACTTTCTGAAGAGCTTTCAGAAATTTCCTCTGGCTGCTTTTTTTTTTTTTAGCTCATTCTGAGAAAGACCCAAGTTTCATGTCTAATTTGAGGTGGGGTTCTGTTTAAGGCTGCAGCTGAATGTAATCCTTCTTATTGTGCTTCTTCATCACTTTTGTCTTTCCCCTGCTCTTCATCAGGATCATCAGTTCCTCTCCAGCTGGGTCTACCAGTGGCAGTGCCACCTCAGTACAGTGGGTTGAAGGAGGTGAGCATAGAGGCAGTGAGGGCCCGTCTGCGCCTCCTCTATCACTTTTCTGATCTCATGTACTCGTCATGGAGGCTGCTGAACCTCAGCCCCAATAACCAGGTAAGAACAGAACCACGACCCTAACAAGACCAACCCATGCTGCAGGTATTTGGATTTTCTGAACGTTTTTTGAAGGTCACGTTGCTTTGAGATTGAGCTAAAACAAGAATACCTTACTTTCCAGACTATAGAGCACACCTGTGTATAAGCTGTGCACACAAAATAAAAATAATAAAATTAATCATTTGTACATACCGTGTTTTCCGCCCTATATGACGCTCCAAAGTATCGGTCGCATCAGTCAAAAAATGCATCATGAAGAGGAAAAAACATATATGTCGCTTCGGAGTATAAGTCTCACTTATTTAGAAGTGTATTTCACAAAGTGCAAGAACAGATATTTAATCTGAAATAACAATAATGCATAGGGGCTGACTGACCGTTGAGGTCACCGGGACATTTCCCGGTGGCCTGGTCTGCTCAGTGGTTGCTAAGGGGCTGGAGTAAAGGCTCCAGTATACTCCCGCGTCCTATCAGCCATGCGGAAACTGTGCGCACTGTCCGCAGAGGGTTGAGACTTCATGCTGAAGCATCCACCCTAATTGGCTGCAGTGCAGCTCCGCAGAAAAGGGGCGTTTACCTTTGGGACAAATTGAGGTCGCCGATTGGTCATTTGCTGACATGCCTACTGGATTGAGTGACAGGTAAAAAAAAAAAACAAGAGTTGGCAGCCCCAGTCACAGTGGTGTTCTGTGTTTATATGTTGTTAATTAAAAATTCTAAAATAAAAAAAACGGAGCGCTGGCTCTGCACATCAGACCAGCACACCAGGAAATCTCCAGACCCTCCTGCAGCCACGCTGGACCTGATTTTAATTTGCTCATGAGAAATTCCTTCATTTCTCACCATTTCAGTCATGGTGTCAATGGAGGAGGAAGAGATCACTTGCCTTTTGGCAAAATAACAAAAGAAAAAGCCAGATCAGGGATGAAGAAGGGGAATTTAAAACGTTGGTGCATATCCTGATGCATGCTCAATAATCCAGGTAGAAAAATCTAAAAAAGTTAAATCTGGTCCTCTGGGCATTCAAAAAAAACAAAACAAAGCAAATCAACAAAAAAATGTAGAAACGTTTCGTCTCTCATCCGAGAGACTTCCTCAGTCTGAGGAGCTGTTTTTTTTGAATGTCCAGAGAACCAGATTTAACTTTTTTAGATTTTTCTACCTGGATTATTGAGCATGCATCAGGATATTTTGAACCACTTTGGCCAGGATTGCCTCAAACTAGTTAGAGAGTTTGAGAAAACAGCAAGTCAGAGTCAGAGTCAGAGTTTCTTTATTGTCATTCGTACCTCATGTGGTACATGTGGTGGAGCGAAATTATGTTCACAGGGTCCCAGTTACATCCAACAATAAAATGTCTAAGAAAAACAGTAATAACATCTAAGATATGAACTAAGAAAAACATCAACTAAATATACACTAAGCACTCATAACATAAAACATTGAACATCAGCACAAACATGAACATGAGTCTGTGAGCAGATGTGCACGCATGAACACATCAACATTGAAACAGATCAGCAGCAACATGAAACAGATCAGCAGCAACATGAAACAGATCAGCAGCAAGGAAGAGGGCAGACTACAGGAACCATTTGCGCCAGGCCAGCGGTCACTCTTTCAGGGATGAAGATGTTCACATCCTGGACAGAGAGGAACGATGGTTTGAGAGAGGAGTAAAGGAGGCCATCTTTGTGAAAAGAAATCGTCCATCATTAAACAGGGGTGGAGGCCTCTGTGTTCAATTGTCCCCCTCTTACAATGCTGTGATTGCTAGTATCACTCAGCCCTCTGTGAACAGTAAACAGCCATCAGGTGCTAATGATCCATTGTTAGGCTGATGGTCCTTCTTGAGCATGTGATCAGCTGGTTTTGGTTGTCAGCAGCAAACTGGTTGATCCACTCTGAGTAGGTGCTATTTAAGAGACTGAGCTGAATACAGCACCTCAGACTGAGGAAGTCTCTTGGATGAGAGACGAAACGTTTCTACATTTTTTTGTTGATTTGCTTTGTTTTGTTTTTTTTGAATGTCCAGAGGACCAGATTTAACTTTTTTAGGTTGGTGCATATAAAACAGTCCGTCGCCAGGCAGTTTATTGTGCGACACCGCGTACACGGTCGTAAAAGTTGAGCTATGCGCAAATATGCCCTGCGGGGATATGCATGTACCTCCACGGACGGATATACGCGGGAGTGTACTGGGGGCTTAAAGGCTCGGTTTGGGTCACGCTTCATTATTTTAAATAAACAAGCCACTCTTGCTTGTCTCAATCAGGTCTCACTGACACTGCACTGTAGCGATAGGGAAAGACAGACCACCACCACCCCTTCCCCCTCCCTTCCTTTTCTGGGTCTGTGTCTGTCACAGCAGAGACACAGGTTGCACACCCACCGTCATGCTTACGCTTCCAACAGTTATATGTTCGCACACGGCGCACACACACAGAACATAGCTGGGATCCTGAACAGGCTTAATTAACATTTTTGCAATCCACCTTTGATCATCCAGTCAGACTCGCTCTGTCTCAAACTTGTCCTAAGGCTGCATTCACAGCAGCCCTGTTTAGTCCACTTTAATCGAACTCTAGCTCGTTTTTCTAGGAAGTCCGGTTCGTTTCGGGAGGTGTGAACGCACCATCGAACTCTGTCACGGAACAAAAAGGCGAACTCTGGCCCGGGCTAAAACCTAGGTCTCGGTCCGGTAGAAGAGAACTCCAGTGCGGTTCCAGTACAGTGTGAATGTAAACAGACCGAGCCCCGCTCCACAAGCAGGAAGTGTAGTACAGCGCAGGACAAACACACATTTCTCTTAGCTCATATGGAGCCGTCAGCTGCCTTGTGTGGAAAACAATATTCTCCATGTTCTTCTGTCTCATCTTCTGCTCATGCTGAGTCCATTGTTGAAAAATGACTAAATATAACTCCTAAAACTGATAAAACTTGATGCCACTCTGTTTATGTTTTTATTTCCAGAAGAAGTGTCTTCAGAGGTTTTTGTGTCGTTTATTTCAGTAGTTCTTGGTGCAGCGCCCTCACAGGTGAGTGGGGGAACAGGTTGGTTCAAACAGGTTGACTCGACTGCACAGTGCAGTGTGAATGCAAACGCACCAGCTCAAATGGAACAACATGTCATGAATATTGGTCCAGAACCGAGTCTACCGGACTATCAGGTGTGAAAACAACCTAAATGCCGATAAAACCAAAGGGATGCTTTTTTTCAAAGAGGAAGTCGGTCCCAGCAGTTCTTCCTCTGATTTTATCCTCAAATGGTGTCCTGATTGAGTTTGTTGATTCCTATAAATATTTGGGTATCTTGGTCGACTCACATCTCTCTTTTAAGCTTCACCTGAAAAACTTGGTAAAGAAACTGAAAGTTAAACTGGGTTTCTTTTTCAGAAACAGATCCTGTCTAACCCTGAATGCTAGAAAACACCTTGTATCTGTGACTTTCCTTCCCTCCATTGATCACGGTGACATTTACACGAACACTCCTACAAGAACCCTGCAGATGTTGGATGCTGCAGATGTTTGATGCTGTCTATCATGGTGCACTAAGATTCATAACTGGCTGTGATTATCGTACCCACCACTGCACCCTGTATTCACTGGTTAACTGGTCACCATTAACTTCACGCAGACTCTCTCACTGGTACATTTTCATCTTTAAATCACTTCTTGGTCTGCTGCCTTCATACATCTCCTCCTACATGTCTCTGTGTGAGTGCAGCTACAGCGTGCGCTCTCAGGACATCATTACCTGCAGTGTTCCCTCAATGAGGACTGAACTAGACAAAAGGACCTTCTCCTACTCCGCTCCTGTTTCCTGGAATATCTTACAAAAAGATTTGAAGCTCTCGACCTTTGACCTCTCTAAGTGTCTTTAAGAATCTGTTGGACACCTGGCAGGGACCAATGCAGACATGTTCCTGTTTTTAGTTTTATACACCATCTTACAGTCTAGCTGTTTTTTTTTTTTTCCGGCTACTTTTCCATTTGACTGCCGTTTTCGTTGCCATTTTGTTCTGATTTGTTTAAAAAAAAAAAAAGCAAATTTAAATCTGTATGCCTCTTCTATGATTGTCTATTGTTGTCATTGTTGTCATCACTCTTTAAGAAATCAGGTCTCTCTTGTAAATGAGTCCCCAAGGCTCAGTGGGATTGACCTGTATAAATGGTAGGGTTGTACATCTCTGTGTGATAGACGGGTCGATTCGCATCTAGATACAAAGGTTACGATTCGATTCAAAAACCATTTATTTTAAAAACAGAACGATTTGATTCGGTTCGATTCGATTCAACTTTATATAATTCTACAGTTTAACATTGTTGAATGTAGACAAATATTAATTATGAACAAAAAGGGCCATTTCTATAAATGTGACATTCTTACATTATTTTTAAATTTGTAAAAGTTTACATATATCATATCTAAAATTGTGCAGTAAGGCACTGGCAAAAATAAAGTAAAAAGCCAAACAACAGAATCACATGTCAAATGTGTTTATTTTTAGACATGGACCTAAAAAGACCAGCTAAAAGAATATTTCTTTGTTTGATGGGATCAGTATAAAATGAGAAAATAAAGAAAAATTATAAAATGCACAAATGATTACAGCAGCATGTAATAAAAAAAAATAGGAATAAGCTACAGTAAGCACAAAGCACCTGTGCAATAACCTGTCACATACCCTGCGTAGTTTGGTAGTTATGTGCAATATATATCATGTGCATTTTAGCTTATATTACATTACTACCTTGAAATACTTATTCACACAAATTCATTCTGCTTCACTGTAAAAATTCTACAATGTTGTTGTTTACCATTTTTCTCTTCAGAAACTTTGTAAATATTATAATTACTTTTTCACTTTTTGGTAGTTTATTTTGTACCCTTATTGCTTTAGTATTTCTTGTTTGCTTGTTTTTTGTTTTTTAGCAAGTCAAATCGGTTCTTCTCATCCTGAGCATTTCATCGTGTTAACCTTGCATAGACAAAT